ATATATATATATATATATATATATATATATATATATATATATATATATATATATATATATATGTATTTAAAAAAAAAAAATATTAATTAGTATTCGATCCAAAATTCACCCTATCAATGATGGAGAGTTTGGGCCTGGGCCTGATGTATTGTGGTTTATTGTCCGGGCCTTATATCTATTAGTAATTCAAATCAAAGTTTTAGTTTATTTGTTGGTTGATTTATTTAAGGCTGCGGCTATATGCAAGACTAATTCCACTTGTGCAAGACCAAATTAAAATTTTCAATGTATAAATACTATAATACCCTTATTTATTAAAAAAATAAAAATTTCCAAATATGCAAGACCAAAAATTCAAAAACACAAAAAACCCTATCACAAGACCACAACCACAAGACCAACTATCATCTTCTCCATCTTCCAAAACTCACAAAACCTTTCTCCTTCCTCCTCCATTAACCCACAAAACCTAGAAATTCAAAATCATCAAAACTCAACAAATCTTACAAAGATGGCAAGTATGGAGTCAGAAGACATCAAAATAGAAGATTCTACGATGGAAGAACCCAAGAATGTATGCATTTATGGGTTTTTTTAGCTAAAATATCGATTTTCCAAAAAAAATCCCGCGCAAACGAATTCGACATGTACAGGTCGAATTTTACAGGTAAAAATCGACATTTAGATGTCGAATTTGAGGTATAAAATTCGACATTTAGATGTCGATTTTTAGGTATAAAATTCGACATTTGAATTTGTGCTACAAATTCGACATGTCAATGTCGATTTTTACCTATGAAATTCGACGCTTAAGTGTCGATTTGTAGCATAGTTTTTCGACACCTTGGTGTCGATTTTTGTTTTTTTCTCATTATTTGTATTTGGTCTTACATGAGAAAAAAAAGCCAATTTAATTTATGGGCATACTTGTCATTCCATCTTAATAAAATAGAATCTTTTAGAATCTTTCTTTAATTTGGTCTTGCACAAGTGGAATGAGTATTGCATATAGCCGCAGCCTTTATTTAATTGTTATTAATAAATGCATACTTACTATTTAAATATACGCAAGTAGCCAATAAGGCACAACTAGTACTTTATCTGTGTGATGAAAAGTAATACGAATAAGCTAATGCTAGTATGTTAATACTATTATTCTAATGCTAATATGATACTGTTAATAGTAATACGAATAAGCTAATGCTAATATTATTCTAAGACTAACGTTAATGTTAATTCTAATTATAATCTTAATATGTTAATGTTAATTATGATCATAGTTATAATCAATAATCATAATCATAATTCTAAATCTAATACTAGTTATAATCATAATCTTAATCATTGTACTTACTGACAATAACACTAATACTAATACTCTGATTTTATTTATTTTTAATTCCATTTCCTTTATATATCATATATATTTTATTCTGAATTATAATGACCTAAGTAAGACAAACAAAAAGTTAGTTACAAAAAAAAAAAAGAAAAAAAAACAAAAGGTAACAACAAGCTATTCCTACCTTAATAAACAAGTCAAGAGAATTCGTATTCTCCCCCCTCCAACAATTTTCGTTCTAAATTAGTAACTAACCACCTTTTTAATCACACACTAATTCTCTCCCACGAAAAAAAAGATCACACAATAATATAATGAAGCATCCATTTTGTCCTAATCAACTCCAAAGAAACGCCATCCCTTTTGTTCTCCTCCTCTTCTCCATCACTCCGTTACTCACCCATCGCAACTCTCTCGTTTCCGGATCCTCCGTTTCCGAACGCATTGCCAAACGCCCCGACCCTCTAAGGAAATTCAAACATTATGCCGGAAATTTCGATATTAGGAACAAACATTATTGGGCTGTAAGTACACGTCTAACCATTTTTTTAATTTTTGTTTTTGGGATCAAATAGTAAAATAATTTTATATTTTTCGATATATGTAAATATATATACAGTCAGCGGCATTTACGGGAATTCATGGCTATGCGGTGGCGGGGGTGTGGTTGCTATGTGGCGTGGGGTTTGGTGTTTTTGTGGTTGTAAAGAATTTAATTAGCACGTTTCCGATTGTGGATCGTTCGAACTCGTCGAATATAATAGTGTTCTTGCTTATTATCCTATTTACCATTTTTGCCATGTAAGGGTTTTTTTTTTTACGTAAATAAAACTATATAAATTTATTTATTTAATATTGGATGATTTAATTTGTCGATGTACTGATTAATTTGCAGTGGTTGTAGTAGTGTGGCAATAGCAGCAAACGAGAAGTCGTCGCAGAGGGCAGAAAAGCTCGAAGAAATTATATTCGGTGCTGGTGAAGACGCTTCACTAACCATAGCAAAAGTTAAATCTACTATGGTACAAATGCACACTCTCTTACTCCCGTACGACTCCAAAACGTGCGACCTTCTCGATTTGATCGCGCACCGTCTGAGGAAAGTGTCGTTGACCGTCAACACTTTTGTCCAAAGTTCAAGAAAATATTGGGACAGAGCTATTCAAACCTTGTAAGGATCAATTAATTTATTTTAATTTCTTAATTATTTTAATTGTTACTTAATGGGTTTAATTTATTTTTTTTATCAGATACGTGGTGAATGTAGTTGTCGTTTCGATCGACTTGGTTGCGTTAGTTGCTGGATTTGGTGAGTTTTGTTTGCTTTTTTTTTTTTTTAAATTATTAATTATATATCGGTCGATATCTGCTGCCATTTCGATAACTTGGTTAATTATAAAAAAAAAACGAACAACTCGGTTAGACTAATGGATATTGCTGATTTCACTCAGTTCTGCTTGCCTTGCAAAATCGTCCCGGTATTATCGTGTAAGCGCGCGACTCTAAGTATATAAATATTATAAATCGATTTTTATCTTATTTTTCAAATTTGATCGAATTGTTAGAAAAAATCCCCGTTTGCGATATTTTGCTGTACTGTGAACAGATTAATCTTCTGTTGCTGGATTCTTACAACGTTGAGCTGGATTCTAACCGGTGTCGATTTCTTCTTCTACAAGTGAGCTAGCTAGCTAGTCGAATTACAAACTAATTTTATGTATCATGCATTATTTTGTTTTTAACAACATTTAATATTGCATTTATTATTTAATAATTTTTATATATGAATAAATATAATGTACAGTTTTATTGGGGATACTTGTTCAACTTTGAAGAATTTCGAAGAAGACCCTCAAAACAACAGCCTTATGGACATGCTCCCTTGTCCCAATTTCACATCTTCTGCCCAAACTTTAGAGCAAATTAATTACAGCGTCCACAGTTTCATATCTGAGGTAATTAATTAATTAATTTATTAATTATATAATTAATTAATTAATTAAATTTCCACATTCTTGATCAGATAAACTCAAAGATTGAAGAAGTGCTTATTCAAATCAACGATCAAAACGAAGAAGTATCGTTCCCGGAAGTTTGCGACCCTTTCTCCTCCGCGCCGGATTACGCCTACAAACCTCAAAATTGTCGAAACAATTCCATCCCAGTTGGCGATTTACCGACCGTAAGCACTAAAATTTCACTAATTAAATTAGAAGCCATATTCTAATAAATATAAAATATAATTACATTTATATCGATGTATATGGCTTAGATTCTATCGAGATTCATATGTTACGAGGCGAATATGAGTACGGAGAATTGCATGGAAGATGGGAAATTTGTGCCGGAGGGAATCTACGAGATGTCGTTGGCTTATAGCCGTTCGATCGAGGACTTTATAAATATATATCCGGATCTATCGAGCTTGATGGAATGCTCGAGTTTGAAACGGGCCTTCTCGGAAATTGTTGCGGGCCAATGCAGGCCGATTGAACTTTGGACAAAAGTGCTTTGGTCTTCCATGTTAGGCCTTTCACTTGTTATGATTGTTTTAGTATTGCTTTGGTCTTGTAAATCCATTTTCACTGCATCACTCCAAAGGAGTAATTTATAAATCTTTTTTTGTTAATATTAATAACATGGGATTATTTTATTTTTAATTTTACAATTCACGGGTCGCAATTTTTAATAGGATTAATTACGGTCACCCCTGAAGTAAGGTCAGATTAATTACGGTCGCAATTTTGCACCCGTTTTATCTCATTCGAGCTCTATATTTTGAAATAAGATGATCATAAGATTTGTCTTTTAGCTTGTAAATATCAAATTGTGGTGCATCAGAAACTACATTTTGCGTAAAATGAATACAAATTGGAGAATATTCCAAGGAATCTGTAAGAAAGAAAATCTATAGTGCAGGGTGATTGTAATTATCTATATATAAAAAGTTTTTTTCATAATTTTACATTATCTGGGGGTGACTGTAATTTAACAATTTGAATATCATTTTGCTTTCCGCCGTTTTGATAATGAATACAGCGAAACGTGGTTGTAGGGAAGGAGACATTTACCAACTTTATTCTTCACTATTTGCCCCACAAATAAACAAAAATATCTTATTAACTATACGGCTAATTTCATTTACCTCCCCTGAACTAATGTGAAACCTTCACTTACCTCTGTTATATTATCAAAACATTCATTTCCCCCCTGGATTATATATTGTGCCTATTTTACCCTTCATTAAATTAAATATCTCGTTCTTCATTTTACGCATTCATTTTTATAATTACTTTTTAACTTCGATTTCGTTTTGTTTTTCGTTCGATTTTTCAAAAGTAAAGAGTATTAAGAAACCACAATAAAAATGTATTTGTTTTCTTTATCTTAAACTTGAACAAATAAATAAATTCTCAATTTCCACCTAATTAATTTCAAGTGTGGGGATTAAATTGAAGATTTCTATTTAATACAAGGGTGAGAAGTGAAAATAACCCTTAACTATATTACATGTTTAACTAATACTACAATTTATGATGTATTCTACTACTATTCTTAACTATATTACATGAATAATTTAATGATTAGTGATATATTTTAAGCCATATTTAATTTCTATGAGATATATCAATTTTATGAACAAGTTTCACAATTTACTTAACTACTAATTATATAAAACATGATCTAGCAATATTAATTACTACAATATCTATATTTTGTATTTACAGATATTTTAACTTTTAATGATCAGCATTCAGCATTAACCCAACATTTATTTTTCCTTTTTTATTATTATTATATTTTATTTTTTCGGAGTTTTCACAAAAATGGTGCCACCTACTCTCTGTAGACTGTACTGTTTTCTTATACAGTGACCGTCGTCTTCAATGGTAAAACACCTAGAGAGAGAAAGAAGAAGCAACAATCGAATTTTCTAGGTTATTCTTCAGTATCACGATCAACACCAAGATCCACCACACACTCAATTCTCTTCTCTCTCTCTCTCTCTCTCTCTCTCTCTCTCTCTCTAATTAATTCCATTTCAACACTCTCTACTTGTGCACGCGCTTCACCAAATACCTCAACGAGGTTCTTGTGACCTTTCCAGAAGGAGAATACTTTATTTCAACACAATTCGTAAATTGAGGGTTGTAATTTCAGATTTTTGTTTCGTATGGTGATAAGAATCAGGAGAGCTAACAGCAGCAAACTCATGTCTAGAAATTCCTTTCCATTTCTAGCCAGGTTCTCTCCAGGTAATCTTCCTTCTTTCAATTCAGCTAGATTTGTATGATTTTAGTTGATTGTCTCTATTTTCTCTGTTACATCTAATTGGGGCTTTGTTTAAGTATTATGTTCTTTTTGTTACCTAATTGGATGCCTTTATGATATGCTTTTGGGGATCTGTTTATGATTGTCGATCCTCTGTAATTTAACTGATGAAGCTTCTTCCTCCTGTGTGATTGTTTGATTTTTACCTATGAATTTGAGAATCTGTATTCAGAGAATCACAATTCTTCCCTTATTTGTGATTTTATTCAGTTTCGTGTACTACGCACTTCACAGAAATTTGTTCATTTTCTAAAATTTGGCTGCCTTTCGGTGTATCATACAGTTTCGCTATTGCATCTCGATGAACAGATTCAATGTTTCTGTATGGTGTAACAAAATGCTCGATGGTTCTGCACTTTGTGTAGGGAAACCCGTAATTTATGTTTTAAATAATATGAGCGTTGGTTTATGACTTTAGCTTGGACCTCCTTGAATGCAGCCTTGTCTTGAAGATAGAAAAAATAAAAAAAGGCATCAAAATGAAGATGAGGAACAACAAATACAGGAAACCAACTAGTTTACGTTGCAATGCAGGGAGCAGATGCTCGACTCCCGTTGCTGTGTGGGCCCTAGTTGGATTCCTTATCGTGCTTCAATTATGGAACTTAATTTCTCACACAAACATACAAAGTAAACACGCACACCACAGCAGTATGATTCACCACCCTCTATTACGCGAGCTGCAAGTGGTGGAGGAGGAAAATATACAAATGCCGCCGCCGAGGCGGCGATCTCCACGTGCCGCCAAGAGGAAGCCCAAGCGTGCCACTACCTTGGTCGACGAATTTCTTGATGAGAATTCCCAAATAAGGCACGTATTCTTTCCTAGTGCGAAAATGGCTGTGGACCCCACGAAGGATAATGGCAACGATAGTTTTTATTATTATCCGGGAAGAGTGTGGTTGGACACTGAAGGGAATCCAATTCAAGCACATGGTGGTGGCATCCTGTATGATGAACGATCCGAGACTTATTATTGGTATGGGGAGTATAAAGATGGCCCCACTTACCATGCTCACAAAAAAGGAGCGGCACGGGTAAATTTCTGATTCGTGATATTTAATTTAACCTCGATATGAATAGCATTTATTTTTCCTCTTTTTTCTTTAAAACGTATGTATGCATGGGTGGTTTGTCTTAAGTGTATGAATGCCTGCCCTTTTCATCGACTTTGTATCTTCTGAACTTCTACGTGGCTGATTTTGTTGGAGAAGAAACAAATATTTCAATAATGGTAGCTGATGTTCACATTTATTGCGTTAAACGAGTATATTTCAATAATGCTAAATTGTTATTTGAATTTATAGTGTCTTATGTGAAACTTAACAAAAGCTTTGATTCTCCATTTCTTCTCGTCATCATGTAATGGTAACTGATAGTGCACTCTTACATATATCTTAGTACACTCAGGTTAATATTGTACGCTCTGATTCTCCATTGTCCGTATGTCTTGTTCTTCAATGAAAAAACTGTCAGAATATGATATAGAATACAAACTGCAAGTTGGCAGTGTTTCTTAGGAGGGGTTTTCTTGTCACTACTGAGTTTTATGGCTTCACTGTCTGTATTTAATGAAGGAATTTAGTATGCCCGCATTAATCATTTGTTTACATTTGAACATTTTGCTTCGAAGAATTATAATTACACTTGACACTACACATGTTTGAGATCGTGGTATCTCCGCGAATACGTTAAGATTCTATGTGTTCCAGCATTTAATGTTTTCCTACCCAACCAATATAGCTCTACTGGTATTTTGAAAATGCCGTCGTGTTATTTCATAAGCTTTCCGACTTTTAAATGTGTCTGTCGAATCAAGCAAAGTACCCGATCATAAATTATTTGCCATTACTTTAGAAGAACAGTCTATATACAACATAGTAATTTTCTTCCTCGCCTTTTCACTTTCCGACCTCAATTTAGTAATAAATTCCATTAGTACCCCATTTCCCAGTAGAGTTTAAAGATGGTTATTATTTATTGATTGAACGGTATCTGCTGGTACTAACTAATCTGGATTATATGCAAATCCAAGCTGCTTAATTTTGCAAGTTCTTCTCTCGTAACACCAAGTCGTAACAGATTAAAAGTCAGTACATATGGATTTGATAATTTCCAACAATCAACTCAAATCTGAAGATTGTTAGATAGGAGTAAAGGCTCGATCACCAATCAATGCCGAAACGATCAATGGGGGAGAAGTATCTGGATTATTATTTTTAGTTTGTAACAATTTTCCAGAGTTTAGATAGAATTCGAAATAGAGAACTCTCGAACCGAACTCATTTTTCTCCCTCCATTGATCAGGTTGATGTCATCGGAGTTGGCTGCTATTCCTCAAAGGATCTATGGACATGGAAAAACGAGGGCATCGTTTTAGCAGCAGAACCAGAAAACGAAGCCCACGACCTCCACAAGTCAAACATCCTCGAACGCCCCAAAGTAATCTACAACTCCAAAACCGCAAAATATGTAATGTGGATGCACATCGACGACACCAACTACACCAAAGCCTCCGTGGGGGTCGCCACATCATCCACCCCCGTGGGCCCCTTCACCTACCTCCACAGCAAGCGGCCCCACAATTCCGACAGCCGCGACATGACCATCTTCAAAGACGATGACAACACCGCTTACATCATCTACTCGTCCGACGACAACAGCGAGCTCCATATCGGGCCACTCGATAAAGATTACCTCGACGTGACAGGTGTCGTCAGAAGAGTGCTCGTAGGGCAGCACAGGGAGGCGCCAGCTGTCTTCAAGTATGACGGGACTTATTACATGATTACCTCCGGGTGTACCGGGTGGGCCCCAAACGAGGCGCGGGCCCACGCGGCGGAATCGATGATGGGGAATTGGGAGACGATGGGGGACCCGTGTGTGGTCGGTGGGAACAGTAAGGTGTTTAGGTTTGCTACGTTTTTTAGTCAGGGGAGTTTTGTGGTGCCGGTGTTTGGGTTTGAAGGGCTGTTTGTGTTTATGGCGGATAGGTGGAATCCGGCGGATTTGAGGGATTCGAGGTATGTGTGGCTGCCGTTGATTGTTGGGGGAGCGGTTGATCGGCCGTTGGATTATAGTTTTGGGTTCCCTTTGTGGTCTAGAGTTTCCATTTATTGGCATAGAAGATGGAGGCTTCCACCACAGTGGAATGGGAATATTGTCTGAAGAAGGTTTTGAGATGTTAATTCTTTGTTAAAGAAAAAAGTTTTTTTTTTTATACTGTTTTTGATGCTTTCATGCACTGTTACATAACGATGATTTTTTTAGGTCTAATGCTTACAGATATAGTTGTATATTGTCCATCAAGCAATTGACTTGTGGTTTTTCATAAACAAAATCAGGAGTTTCTTGACCCGAATTCTGTATATAAAGTGTGAGTTGTTGCTGCATGTTTGTTTCAATTTTACTAGTATTGTTTCGATTTTAAATGTGATTTTGACTATTTTTTAGTCGTCCCAGGTGGCAAAACATTAATTTTGTAGTCTTGTAAAATTGATAGCTTTGATGTTTGAGGTTTTCTCAATTCAGACCGTAGCTCATTCGTACATAAATCTTCCATCTGATATGAAATCGAGCGTATTCAAGCTGAATTAAAAAGTCGACTCAAAGGATTACAAATTGAACGTTTTAAGTCAAAAATGGCCAAAATCATATTTAAAGTCGAATTTTTTTTGGTTTTTTATTTGTTGATTATTAATTGAAAACGACAATAATAGGAAATGCTTCCTATAGAAAATGTACATATTATCCTAATTCGAAATAGTGCATTATATATATATATATATATACATACTTTCAACTTGGATGTAGACTCCATGCATATGTAGTGTGGAAAACAGCCAGTCCTCGTCAATGTTGGAATAAAACAGAAAATTCTTAATCTTTACAATAAATTAAAGTAAAAGTGTAAAGGTACATACATACACAAACCATATTGAAATCTTCCCATGTAGAAATTAAACTACTATTTCTTATGTCATATTATATAAAATAAATTAAAATAAAAGATGGAAAAAAAGAAAAGAAAAAAGTTGAAAAGATAGTGGGGGATATGTTAAAGTGGATGTAGTATATGTATGTGAGACCATAAAAAGGAGTTCCCACTCAAATATTTGTTCCCCTCTTTAATCAACTTGGCCTAAAGTATTTACCTTTTCCCCTCATTATTAATGATTTAACATCACCATAAAAAAAAAAAAGTTGGTTATATTATTAATTAATGCTCAAATTACCACCACAAAAAAGTTTTAACCTTCATGTTTGATAATCACATATACTTACTTCAACTATCCATTCTCACGTTATCAAATTTATCTACTGACGAAGGATTCTTTTTGTAAGAGAATACATAATTTAGGGGACATGGCAGTTATAATTACTCACAAGTTTTTTACTTTTTTTTCGTAATTTAATCTTACTTCAAGAAAGTGACCATAATTTATCCTTAATTATATTCTACGTCTAATGATTCGAGTTTGATTTTCTTTAATTACTAATATTTTTTAAATTCAATTTGTCGCATATAATATAAATTGTCGAGTACAGTTTACATTTTTCGTGCAATTTTTGATTTATTTATTAAAAGAAAATAGTCAAATATCTTTTTAAATAGACTTGGTAACACCTTCAATAAACATATAATGTATACTAATAAATATATTATTTTATAACAAACAATATACTCAGGCCAATTTCTGGTCTCTCTGACAAAATTCCTACTTTGATTTTTATTGGAGGACTTTTATTTAAAAAAAATTCTCTAAATTCCTTTAATTGGGATATTAAAAAGTGTTATTTGAAAAACATAAATGGGATTGGTTAAATTTGGTGCAGCTATTTTCAACGGAGAAAAAGTCCAATATGCTAAAGAAAGATAATATATAGAATTTAAAAATAAATAAATAAATAAATAATTAGGCCATATCTATATATAAAAGGGTGTTTGGCAAAATGCCTATATCACCACTAATGGCTAAACACCTTTTTATGAGATTCCCAAACACAACCCAATTCCTTGGCCGTCCTAAGATTCTATGGTCCCCCAAAACAAGATAATGACATTTTGGAAGTTTAACTAAATTAAATCTCACAATTAATTAACAATAATCTTTTTTTAAGCCATTAATACTAATTGTGTAATGTGGTTAATGATTTCATCAACACACGTAATACCAACTCCATGATCAAATATATTAATATTAGGACATTGCTTGTATTAGTTATATATTGGATATCAAATCAAACGTACAAAACAAATCAAGGATATATATATATATATATATATATATATATATATATATATATATATATATATATATATATGAAACGTTAAATGTCGTTTCAATTATATTAATACAATTTTAATTTTGAACGGGATTTTGACCATTTTCTAGTTTGATTTTGGTAAAATTCAAAATAAAGTTATATATGGATGAATTACGTTTTGAATTAGAAATGTAACTCAAAGAAAAACAAATTCCGTGTTTTGAATTAAGCCAAATTCAACTTTGAAAATGCTCAAATCATGTTTGAAATTTGAGACGACATTATTAAAATTGAAATGATATTTATCAGATCATGTATATATGCAATTATGTGAGCATAAAGGCAAAAGGTGACTTTCATTTTCATGAATATGAGTTGAGCATTTAGTTTGTCTTTAGCATTATTTCTTCAACTTTGGATTAAATAGCAATGTAATTCATATATTATTCCCTCGTGAAATAGACTTTTAGTCAAGACCTTAACATATATATTCACTCTATTAATTATTTGTTGCTTTAAAAAGAAAATTTAAAATTCTTATGATGCAATTTTTCCAATTTTACTCTTATTAGTCCAACCGTCTAAAATATTAATTCTCTGTTATCACACCAATTAATTGACAAAAAATGTGGTTAGTCATTGCTATACATCTCTTTTCCAAAATATATTAATATGCGCATAAAAACCTTAAACAGACACATATTTTGAAATATACAGTAATCAACAAAATTGAAATCTATTAGAAATATTGCTAATTAGGATACAAAGATTGATCACAAATTGATAAAACAAAGATTAATTTGAATTAGTTACTTCAAATCTATGCAATCCAAACGGGAAATCAAATCGAAAAATGTTAAATAAAATAATTATAAAAAAAACCCAATGATATCTTTCCTTTTAATTCCTATTTTTTTTCAACCAAAAACACTTCACCAACTCCATACATTTTCACTACCCCACCCCCCAGGCACGTGCCAGCACACGTGCGACCCTCCCCCATTTTTCTTGGTGGGAATCCTAGTCATCAAGGCTTCCATGCACTAGCCCAAACCACCGGCTGATCCTTCCAAGAAAGGAATATTCCGGCGGCATCATCCGAGCACGGCGCCATCGACCACCCCTCCTTGTACCGCCTCAACAATGCGCGCACATCGTCACACACCTCATCGTTGAAAGAGAAGGGGCTGAAACCGCCGGCGTGAAGCCGGTGCGACCACCGCACCGCCGTCTCCCGCCTCTCCACCGACTCCTGCGGCGAGCACGCCACCAGGTCCACGACGGCGCGGCCCGCCGCCCTCTCCAGCATCAAACGCTCGTTGCTCGTCCTCGGAAAGCTCTCATCCAGCGCGTCAAAGTAAACCCTGAACCACCTCATGCATTCTTGAAAACCCCTCACGAACTCACCCCGATCGTCGGAATCACCCCCCGCGCCGTGAAGATCGGCCTCCTCTTCAACAATGGTGATTATCCTGGGCTGCAGCCTCTTGAATATCGATATCAGAAAATCTCTCCGATTACCCACCGTCGCGACGGAGTGTAGAGTTCCGACGCAGTTGATCGCCAGCGCTTCGTCTTCTTTGATCTCCAGTTCGGCTAAATTCAACTCCGACAAATCGCCGGCGTGGTGAATAATGCTGAACTTGAACGGCACGCCCATCAGCCGGGCGAACTTCTCCATCCTGCTGCCGATCTCCTTCATTACTTTCTGCACCGCCGCCGCGCCGGCTGAGCCGGCGCCGGCGGCGCCGCTTGATTTTCGTGGGGACGACGGTGGTGATCCTCAGGTGGGGAGTTTCGTCGGTGCGGGTGGCGATGGCTTCCAGCAGGGTGGGCCACTGGGTGCAGTAGGTGTGCCGATGTCGATTATGTGGACCTGTTCTTCGCCTTCGAGTGCTTCCATGATGGCGCCTTTGCAGGCCACGTGTCCGATGTTGGTCCAAGGGCTGACTTCCTGGTATTTGAGGACGGTCTTCCCTCCTTGACTCGAAGGCGCAGGTCTTCTCGCCCGCTGTACGTCCTGGTCTGGGAGCTTGCGCTCGCCGGAATCCGTCATGCGGCTGAAGAGGGCCTGGTAGGTAGTAGGTAGGCGAGCTTCTGGTCGGTGTCGCCGTACGGGGTAGCTCATCTCGTTGAGCATCCACATCTGCTCCTGGACGCGGGCGCTGTCTCTGTCGGCGTCGGCCTGCGCCGCCGCGAGGAGGATCTCGTTGGCCCACCTGGTGTCTCTGCCGGAGAGGGAGGCGGCGAATTCCACGTTCACGTCTCGGGCAGGCGAGACGGCGGAGTAATACTGGTGGTGGTGATCGGCGGACTGGACGACGTCGTAGGCATCGCCCCCTGGGTCGGGGTGGTGGTGGTGCTGCTGGTGGTGGTGGTGGGTGTAGGAGTGTTGGAGAACTGGTGGTGTTGTTGATGATAAGGGTTATTATTATGATGGTGGGAAGAAGAAGAAGAGAAGTCTTCATCATCCATGAAAAGGTTGAAGCATTCTTGGCTGTAATTAGGGTTTTGGCGGGAAGATCTGGAGCTGCTGGAAGTTCTGCTTGAATCGAAGGACTGATCTTCTGGTTGTTGAAGGCTGACTAGTCTAAACAAAGTATCCATCTAATGATCAAACAAATTTATTATAATTTTAATTATAAATTAAAGACCCACACATCAAATAATAAAAATTCAACCTCCTTTGTGAGTGAGTGATATATTTTCTGTTGGAATAATAATAATAATTGTATTATTAATGATTAAAACTATACGATTATACGAATATATTTTTTTGCCTTTGAAGAATTGGACTTTAGCTAGCTGGATAAGCTTTATTTCAATTTTATAACATGGTGATTTGTGGGTGGTGGAGTGAGTTCTAGAGAGAGAGAGAGAGTTCTAGAGAGAGAGAAGAATCTGAATGAGCAGAAATCTGCCTTTTCTTTATAGGGAATCGATGTGGGATATCATCAAGATTAAACGTAGTGGAATGGTGGGGTGGTTTTTTTCTTATTATTCATTTTTTTATTATATTTTAATTATCGAAAAATAAAATACAATTTAGTGTGTGTATTGGTGTGTGAGAGAGAGAGAGAGAGTGGGGGTGCACTGCAGGCGTGGTGGAGAATGAAAATGGGGTAATGTGAGAGAAAAAAAGCTGCGGAGGCGCGTGCAATATAAATATGATGGATGATGAACATAAACACAAACAATTATTCCCACTCACATTCTTTTGCCCCCCAATTCCTCTCCACATTCTGCCAACATTCCTTTTTCTAATACCCCTTTTCTTTTCTTTTCTTTTCTTTCAATATATATATTTAATTATACAAATTATTATTACATGAATCCTTAAAAGTTTTTGTGACAATACTATATATATCAAAATCTCATAAATCAAGAGGCATGCTCCTCTCTTTTTCACACCACCCCATATATGTATATATAGAATGGGAGACAGTCAAGAAGAAGACTAGCCCATTTCTCATGATCTATAGACAATGAGTTCTTTGCCTATGCCTATATGCTACTATATAGGGACTCTATTATATATTTCATCTATAATTGAAGTCGGCAAAGTTACAGTTTTCGTACCTCAAGTTTGCGCAGGTTTCAGATTTGGTCCCTCGTGTTCATAGAAAAACACATTCGTCTCCTAATGTTTCAACAATTTTTTACACTTCTAGTTATTTCTGTCAATTTATTGTTAGTTCGTCAGTTAAGAAAGTGATGAACACATACTTGATTCAGTTATGAGATGGTAAGGATCAATAGTGTTAAATTATTGAAACATGAGGGATTGAATCTGTTTTATTGTGAATATGGGGATCAAATGTGTAATGAAGGTAAACTTAAGGGACGAAAAGTGTAATATTTCCAAATTCCAATTGAAATGAGAGAAAAAAATAGAATAGAAGGAAGAAAATTTAAAAAAAAAAAATCATAATAATATGTGATTGGTGACAAGGTTTAACAAAGACAATTTGAATGGAACAAGTGCAAAACATTAATCAATTTGTGCATACATATACAAGATCTTGATGTGCATGCAACAAGTTATTTAATTTTGTTCAAATGTATACCAAACTATTGTAAATTTATTGTTTCAAAACTTACTCCTATTTGACAATCATTGGGAAGAAATTCCTTGTTGGACTGTTGTTGTCTTATTCGAGAATTGAGCAATATTATTATAGCGTTAGATCTATTACAGACAAATTGCGGACAGTATATATATATATATATATATATATATATATATATATATATATATATATATATATATATATATATATATATATATATATATATATATATATATATATATATATATATATAAAAAAATGATTTTCTATTGATATATATATAAATATATTTTTCTCTATATATAGATATCTATTTTTCTATATATCGATATATATAAAATATATTCCTCAGAAAATCTAACATATATATATGAAAATCGGTCTTTGTGTATGTGATATCACGCGAGCGCGCGCGCATGCGTGCGTGAGAATTAACACACAAAGATGTGCATTTCAATGGGGACC